TAATAATAAGATATTAGAACCAGCAGAAATTAAAGTAGAAGACGAAGCCGAAGTGTCTTCAACTACGGAGACTCCTAGTCCCGAAACGAAACATTTCCAAATTGTTCAACCACCACAAAGTCCTTCCACAAGCTCTCAAGAATCTCATACAGCGGACAGTCTAAAAATAACGTTAGTTAGCAAGCCAAGCAAAGACAAAACTGCTAACTGTCAACCAAACAACGAATTGAAATCAATGAATCTTAGTAAATTGGTAAAAGAAAAGCGAGAAAATCTTCAAGTTTCTTCCACAGCTAACACTCCGTCAACGACCACCGCCCCGAAAGAAGAACGTAAGGTGGAAAACATAAAATTAAAAATTGATTTGTCTAAACAAAACAGTGTAACCATTATTAATATGTCCGATCCGGAACGCAAGGAAATAGTTAAACCAGTCCGACCTGATAAAGAATGGAAAGTGAAGAATAAAAAGGACAAGGATACGAATAGCCCAAAACCTTCGCCTAAATCCTCGCCACACAATGAAAGAAAAAGCAAAACACCCAGCCCTTTGACAGTACCACCTTTAACAATCAAAGCTGAACGCATAAGTCCCTTAGCCAAGTATCCTTCCGCAAATTCTCCTCGTTCTAATGCCGATAAAATGAGTGAAGAAGAAAAGAAATCACAATTTCTTAAGTCTTTCTCTTTAACTCCTATTAAGGACATCAAACAGGAAAAATTCGACGATGAAAATGATAAAAAACAATCGCTTATTACAAGCTCTTCCAAAATAAATGCTCATAAAGTTATAACGCCCACTGTTGTATTTTCCTCAAAGTTACCAACACCATTACCTCCTATAATGATTAACCAAACCGGCTCGAAGCGCAAATGCAAAGATCCGGTAAAAACGGTTGTAAAAAAGCCAAAAATTTCACCTCCCATGGCTACAGAGGATTTCAAGATAAAATTGCCGCCCATCTGTAATAGCACCAATGCTAACCATAGTGATAAGGCTGTTGCGAAGTCACCGGCAGCAATTTCTGCTGTCACTAATCCACCAAAAGACATTAACGACAAGCCTTTAATGCCACCTCCGATCGGATTGCCAATGATGAGACCTCTAGGAATTGCCTCAAGGAAAGCGCAAAAACCCTCTGGCAGTAAAATTCCAGCAACTTCACCTGGATCCCTTATTCCTCATCCGCATATCCAAGGTATACAAATGTCAGCTCCTGGTAATAGGACACCTATAGCGAAGCGCTACCAACATATCCTTCCTAAGGCGGCACGACCAAATCCCTTCGCCAATATACCCAGCGATGTGAATAAGATCTTAAAAGAAGCAGGCACCGAAATTAAGACAATATTAAACGATACTAATGGTTCTAAAGTATATGGACCTAAATCGGAAACTACAACCTTAATGGGGCCCCCACCACTTAAAACATCTGTAACTAAAACACAAGCATCTCCATGTAATGTAACTCAGCAACATAACTCGCCCGCACATAACGCAAAATCAACTGTCTCTCAGAAGTCCAATAATTCGAATAGTTATTTGAATTTAGCCTTATTTAATACTACAAAAGCGAAAGGCAATGAAGTGCCTCCCGGATGCCGCACTCCTATGTACACACCAAATTCACCTATCTACTCACCCAATTCGCCACAATACGTACCAAACTACAATATACCCACTATGCCCACTTACAAATATACACCAAAGCCTTCGAGTTCTTCCAGTAACTTTTTACAAAACGTTCTGGGCTCTAACAGTCAAATGGCGAACTTGTTCCCAACTCCCCCAGTTAAAAAGGATTCAAGCAACTCCAACAAGAACTTTAATAACACGAATACTAACAACAACAACAACAACAACAATACCAACAATTCAACATCGAACAATAATTCAAGCAATCAACAATCCAGCAATAAGCGTTCATATCCCTTTGTACGCAGTCCCAGTCCTTTAGAGGATCCGCCTGAAAAACAGCTAAAAGTGAAATCGTTGCTTACGTCATGCAATATTAGTATACCATCATCGTTGTCAATTACTATTACCAGGGAAGACTCCGAATCAGCGACTAATAATTCTGCTTATCCTAAACATAAGAGTCCAGTAAATAATTATATTGAAATTTTAAAACTTCCCGATCATCCAGTGGACAACAGTGAGAATAAACGCTCAACGCCACCCTCCATAGCAAGTTCGCAACATCTCGCCTTACAAAATAATAAAAATGCCCAACTATTTCCTAATCCGCCCATCAAACGTGATCTCAATCAATCGCCTAATGCAATGAAAGCTGCGGCCAATCCAGCTTTAGCAAGCCTTTTAATTGCTCAAAGTAATAACAATAACTGTTCCATAAAAACTAATTGCAACGCGAACGGGCCAAAATCCAACAACATTTCCAATACGAACGGACCTACCAAAATCCCTAACAATAATCAGAAATTAAATAATATAAGCAAAACACCTCCTGCGAAAACTCCCAGTCCGGAAAAGAAACTTTCAGTGAACGGAAACATAAATAGCGAACAGAAATCACCAAAATCGCCAGTATCATCGTCAGACGGTAACAGTAGCCAGGCCAGTAAAAAGTTCCGTCATATTCTCCCTCGGCAAATGTGTAGTTCAGCAAGCGAATCCACGGGCAACACATTGCCCGCAACGAAGCCTACCAACAATGCGAATAATGGTAATGTAATTGGAACTTACGCCTCACCAAATGGCATAGCGATAAAAATCCATTCCCAAAAGAAAGTGCAACCATCGAAAAAATCACCGGGCTCGATGCTCCTGGCACCTAAATCTAACCTGCTTTCACCAAACGCACCGGCGGCAACGAATTCGGTAAAACCACCCAGTAAATCACCGCAAAACGCAAAGAGTATAAACAAACCTAATAACGCATCTTTATCAGCGGTTAATAATACAGCTCCCTCCATACCGTCGTTGCCGTCGTTGCCAATATCACATCCTCCCCCCATGCCCTCGATGGCTGTTACTATGCCCAATCTACCACCTCATTTGGGTATAGCAACAGCTGCCGGTCAAGCTGAACTAAGCAAACTTTTCAAAGAGAATTTGTTCAGAGCCCAAGTGCAGGCTGCAGCCGCCGCCAATCCATCAAATATGTTTTACTCATACGCTAATGCAGCCGCCCAAATGAGCCAATATACACCCATCTACAATTATCAGCAAGCGTACATAATGGAACAGCTATCACGTATGCGTGCCGGAAATGAAGCTTTCACTGAGTACATGCAGAAATTAAAAAATAGCATGGAAGCCAATAATAAAACGCCTGCTGAGCAACGAAAAGATAACAGAAA